AATTGAAAGAAAAAAAAAAAGAGAGAAAGAGAACATATTTGGGCCAAAGAAAAGGGACAAGAAAAGGAAAAAATAAATTAATAAAAAGGGTACAATCCAAAAATCAAACAAGCATAATTTGACCACTCGATGGTTAGAATATTGGAGAGGAGTAATGATCAATCTCAGTCTATTATAATCACATTTAACCATTTTTTAGAGGTTTAATCAATTTCCTTAATACAACTTTTTCTTTGTTTCTGAGTGTGACTCTAAATATGGAAGGCATTAGCTCACTCCTCCTTAAAATTCCTGACTAATCCTCCACTTCTTCCAGTATAATGTGGTTTCTCAGTTAGGTCCGCCTGTCCTACCTCAGAAACTTCACTCCTAGTCAGGCCCTTCTTCAGGGCTCCCTATCTTGTGGGTGCTAAGAGTTCTCATAAATAAACCTTGCTTTCTTATACTGCTGAGCCATTTCACATTCTATTCTCTTTAGATCGAATTAAACACCTTCCTTTTAATCTCCAAGCATCATCACCCTTTTCCTGTCCTTCTCCATCAGTAGGACGATACTCCATTTTTCTTCTGCATAATCATGTTTAGTCCTCTGTGAAAGAAGGATTCATTTAAATTCTACTGATGTTTAAGTGAACTGCAATTATCAAAGTGCACTGCCACATGCATGAATGCTGAACTCTGGCCATGTCCAAAATCCTGACAAGGTAGGGAAATGGAAAGAAGGAAACCTTTCCCTTTCTTTCTTTCTCTGTCTCTGATGAACACATAAGCCCTCTGGAAAAAAAAAATACATTCACTCTAAAAAAGAAAAAAAAAGGAACAGATATCTTCCTGTATTCATTTGCATATACCTTATACATCTTTATAATTAAAAGTACTTGAATTAGTAAATGAAGAAGTAAGAGCTAGTAACAGGAAAATGTATTCAAGACTTGTAAATGATAAAGAAAATAGCTCTTGGCTATTTTAATATTCTGTAGGGATGGCTGCTAATTTGTAGAAAATGAATAGATACGTGAATTATGTTCACCCACAGTAACACAAATGAACTATAAAAATGCCTGTAAGGGGCCCACGGATGGCCTGATGGTTAAGGTGCTGGACCCTCACATGGCCAACCATCATAGTTCTAGTCTCGAACTTGGCAGCTTGCTTTCTCACCTCTCTCTCTCTCTCTCTCTTGTGAATGCATGTGCCCTGCAGCAAATTTTAAAAATAATAACAATAATAAATAAAATTAAACAAATAATTCTTTTTTTAAAAAAAATCCCTATAAGGCAAAATCTCATTTGAACTGGTTTTAAAATCTATCTGTTCCCTCACTTATTAATGAGTTTGTTAAAGTCTTTAACATGCATTCACGTCATGTTTTCATAAGAGCCATGATTTTACTGCTTTTGAAAACTGGGTTTTAACAGAACATCTTATGTAACATAGCTATGTATACCAACTAGTATGAGTTCAGTGTGTTAATAAAATATAGAGCATGTTTGTCATTGAACAACTTAACTCGATGGTTGGAGTGAAATTAATCCATCTGTCAAAATCCTAACACTAAATTAAAATACCAACAAAGTAATACAATAAAGTCCTTTAATGGCGATGGTTGCCAAATTCACACACACACGCAGACACAGGAGAGGCTGGTATTCAGACATTAAAAAGGATGAAATCCAGTCATTTGAGGCAACATGTACAAACCAGGAGGAAATAATGCTAAGTGAAATAATCCAGGCACTGAAGGACACATGCC